ACAGGTAAAATAGTCTTTGTTTTTAACGAAAATAAATGTGAATGGGATGAGCATAGAGGCAAATTGAAATAATAGTTTTTTTCTATCACTGAAGATGTAAAAATAGATGAAGGGAATGATAAAGCCGAGAGAGAACTAAGGAGTCAAAAACAGAACTAAATCCATTGTGAATGTGGAGCAGATAGCTCGGGTTTCTCTATGCATATGGTGAAGGACTTTTAGTAGATTTGTGTTCACTTTTTAAATGACTCTGAATGATGGATTAGTTAGTTGAGATACTGTGATGTGTGCTGACAAGGTGTTTGGTTATAACGCTTCTGCCTGGACCAGTGCCTTCTCTTTGCAGCCATGCTAGGTAATGTTATTTAACACGTTTTGATAGGATACGCATAGAACGACCTATGTGCCTAGCTCCGCCCAATCAGGTGAACAGATAAATATATGTATGCGGAAATTTTTCTTTCACATTGCTTAGAAGCAGTGGTGCGTCAGTGACACAGTGGTTAGGACGCTCGCCGACCATGCCCATGGTCCAGGTTTCGATCCCCGGCTGCCGACGCACTCCTCTACCTCGCTAAGCCAGTAATAAAGCTGGTAAAGAGGGAAGCTTGGGCCAAGCGAGGCTAGCGACCCCATCCTGTAAAAATAAACACCACTACTACAGAAACTTGAATCCTCTAGCTTGAAGCTGCTCTATGTTCTACTGGGAACGTAAAGGAATAAGAAAGAAGAAGCAGTGAGCGGCTAGAGAATATCACTCTTAGGGTTGCTACAGGAAAGATCTTCTTTAGGAAGCTGTACGGAATTGTAACTCGTTGTCGAGTGACATTTCAGTTATTACTAGAGATATAGAAAGTAAGGGTGATTGATGTATGATACATGCATTGTATTTTCTTATTTAGAGCTTTAGTCTTTATCACAGGTTAAATCGTTTATTTGAGTAGTACATAGCATATCTTTCTTCATCGACTGCTCAAAATTATAATGTCTCATTCAGAGATATGACTGAAGCATTAGGATTTTCAGTTGAAGGGTCTTAGATTCGAGTCCCACTCCACTTATTTCACCATTTTCAGCTAGGTGATATTATCAGCTTCATAGCCTGACAAATACAAACAGAGGGTCGGGGTGTGGGGGAGGGCAAAAGGAGTATGTTACCCTTAACGTTCGATTGGATCAACTGTTCGCTGGAGAATGTGATTCAGAAGGTGGCTGCTTGAAATGTTTTCCTTAGACATTTAGAATGGCGATTTCTATGAATTTCTACTTCAGCGTCACTTTTCAGTGCTAGTTTCATGAAAAAAGAGAGAGATAGTCTTGTTAGAAACAATTATTACTTCCAGTGGCAGAGATTTTTTGCTCTCATGCTTTTGTCGACAAATCTTTATGGATATTCGTTTTTCCCAGTGGAGTGTCGCGTAGACATCCTAATTCATTCTCTGTCTTACCCTAAGAACAGATTTTCAAATTGTTGAGCATAAGGTACGCATTAAGTTTCGCTCTTGGATGAGTGGGAAAAAGTTCAGGAAGTTAATAAACTGTCCAATCCATTTTAGTTTTCGATAATATTGATTTTTGTACCGAGTTGTCTTGTCTTATAAGAATAGGAACAGCATGTTTGATTCACGCTGTAGGGTCAATTTTATTGAATGGTGTGTGATACGTTGGAAGTGTTGGGGGAAATTCTTTAGATCAAACTATAAAAGTTCATCCACATATCTTTTGCGATAGAGCATTGAATTGATGAAAGGATCGAGGATGTTGGTTTCAAGACTCGCAATGAAACAGTCAGCTAAGAGGAGACCCCATAGTTATACTGTGGTGAGAGCTGACTGCTAGCCAAATTGGTAGACAGTAATTTACGTCAATGTTTATTTCCCCAATATTGGTTGTGAGAAAAATAAGAACAAAGAATGATTGAACAACCAAGGCTTTGCGTAGGCGGATACAATTTGTGGATAGAGAATGTGAACTTCAATAGACGGCCAAAAAGAGATGAAAGATTAACGTTCACCGAGAAACCACCAATCAGAAGACGGTGTTTGTTTTGCTTGCAATAATCTATAATAATGTACACTAAAATCTATAAATATCTGTTGATTTCCTTGCCTGGCCCTTGTCTTTTGTTGTTACAGTACTACTTTTCTGTACGTAAAACTGTTCGTTGGACTTGAATCATTTCTTTCAGGCAGTTGATGGAAAGAAGAACTTCTAGATTGTTGGATTTGATGCAGTCACATATGTGGCACATTATTTTGGTTAGTGGGAAGATTATGAACAGGGAAGTAACATGTAGAGAAAGCATTTATCTTTCTGACACATTGGTGTCTTGATGATATTAAATGGTTGGAGGCAAGAGGCCTTGGACCTAGGTTTCGTGCTACTTGGCACTTACTAGTCAGCAAGGTGTATCTGCAATCTTGAAGGAACTCATCTCATCCCTTCTGAGATTCGAACCCGCGTCACCCAAGGAGTGCTGCAGTCAGAGACGATGTTACCACCACTGAGCTATTCGGGCTGGCTCGCGATTAACCTCCAGTAGGACGGACTGTAGTGGATACTTTGATTAGACACATCACACTAGTTTCTAGTGTCCAATCAAACATTGGTATGTTTCACTGAGTTGATGAAATCGATTATGCTTTTAAGGTTATACCCGTGGCACATATTTCCGTATCGGGTTCGAGTGTGTCTGCTAGTCATTTTACAATCTGGTGATATGATGAGTTTATCATGTCTACAATAGACAGAATTGGGATTTCCTTCTTCTTACGGACTTTAGGTAATCCGTATAGTCTTGGTACAGTTGAGCTGTACGGTCTTATTCCTTCATACACCGCTGAAGTTTTGTCTGCCTCTTTTTTCATTTTCTTCAGTAATATTGTGTAAGAAGGTTTTCTGTCATTTCTGTCATTTTTGGCTTGGGGAATTTGAAAAAATTTGGCATTGTTTGATAGTAGGGTTGTTTTTCATTTCAAATTGATCTATTTTGAGTAACTGATTTTTAATCAGTCTAACCATATGATCTCATTAAGTGATACTCTTCAAATTTCATCAATCAATTATTATTTTCATTGTTAGCTACAATTCATATCGATGACATATCATTCATCTTCATGCTGATGCAGGCAAATCAATAAAATTGTATTGTCTGTCTATGAACGCAGATTAGACAGGTTTAGGGGACTAGTTAGTCGGGATGCTTGAACAGTTTCGTACTGGCTTTCTATTGGCTTTAAGTAGAATTGACGCTCATGACTGTTGTGTCGCCATCTATCCTGCCTAGATCTGAGCTTTGGTCACACAACCTCCTGATTCTTTAGTCTGACCCACGTAACGTGGTGTTCCCCAGCTAGTGAAGGTGTAGTTATTAACGAAAATTTTGAATGGAGTATATCACGTAGACGTGATATCCGGCTGGCTATCGACCAAAGGACGTGTGTAATGCTCAGCAGTCCGCTCCATTCTCCTTCATGGCTAGCTGTGAGACATGGTCATTGAGAGTGGAAGACATGAAAAGGCCGGCTAGTTGTCTTTGATCATAGGTGCCGGCGTCCTATCTCCCGTGTGTGTTAGGTGGTATAATAAGATGAGCAATATTGAGGTTGGACTTCGGTCGAGTACTAGGTAGGTCGGAGGGGAAAAGCAGTTGACGAGGCTGTGAAGTGACATTGACTGAGATGGTTAGGACATGTGTTACGCATGCATCCCTAGCCATCCATTGCCTTCCTCGACAATGGACAATGTTAACTGACATAGGGTCAGGCTGGAAAAGAGCCAGTGGTGGTCAAACCAAAACATGGCCTCATCAGTCAATGAAATACACAATAGTTAGTTTAAGATACGCAGTAAGATGTAGACTTCCTGACTCACTGGTTGTGGTCCTCGGGATGGTAAACACCAGTGGCTGGAGACAACTGGTGATAGGGCTCAAAGTGATCGTTGTCAATGGCTGGCGCAGATACATCCACTCCTTGTGACTTATAATACCCAATAAAACGATAGTGTTCTTCGATATTACTATTCTTTTTGCCTGTCTCTGTTACTGTCTCTATTTTACACTTCCTTTTACTCTCTTCTCTTGCTTTGTGTGCTACATGTGGGGAGTTAGGTGACTTGAACTGCTGCACATTGGTACAAAGTTCTATGTTGAAACCAGTCCAGTTTCGTCCAATGGAGTATAGAGATAAACAGTGACATTATAACGCTGCCACTGAGCTCTTCTTCCTTGAAAATCCAACTGTCCACCATGTATGTGTTTCTCAATCCGCACAGATGAACAAATTGATTGTTGACGAGGAAATGGCTGAGGCTCAGTTGATTTGACGAACTTCTTTGATTCCCTACACAGGGAATGGATGTGAGTTTAGTGGGAAGACTAAGCATCTGAAATGGGGGGAGGGAGATTATCAATGGATCCATAGAAGCTTCGTGTTTGTTTCAGATTGTTGCGAAGGAAGGGTAAACATGTCTGTCAAGGAACTTAGCCCTAAGTTCCTATTTTAATGAAGACTTAAGCGATTCAACCAATAAACACTATGTATTTCCTTCAACTTTAAATCCAAAACACCAATATTCCTCGAACGAAATTATATTGTTTGGCAATTAAATTGAAGAAAACTACAAAGTCTGCAAACAAATGTTAAGTACAAATGAAGTTATAAAGTACTTTTATTCGTATTGAAATCCAGTCTTCCTTCAACTTGCAAGCGATCGTTCCATTCGCGCCTTGAATTGCCTGCCAGACCCAGTAAAACAAACGTTCAATGTTCACGTCCATTGACACTCCCCGGCAAAAAAGGGTCCATCCCTTTTTTCCACAGCGGCGGTAACCTTGAACTGAACTGCCAATGCGGGAACCTGGGCCAATCGGGACTAGGCTAAAATTGGAAAAGCAAGACAAAAAAGCCCAACACACAGCAAACATACCACCTCACACCGACACGCTCTCCCCGGCGCATGGGGTCTACGCTGTCTGACGACAATACCACCACTGATCTCTTTCACAAAGTATCGATTGCTTCATTCCACTCTAGCCCAATCCTCTCCCCGGCGTATCCAATCGCGTACGCTGACTCTTACTCTACTCGATTCGTTCACAAGTTTAGAAGCGAATTCAGAAGTACTTACAAAAACATTACAAGATGATTCACACAATGCGACAACTATAAAATTAACCGACAATCAGATGAATCGGAACCCATTGAATTACTCAACACAAACATATGTACAATCAATACATCAAATATCGCGGATTCTGCCTTGACGAGCTACCCTTGAAGAACTGTAGGACTTACAGCAGTACGCCTACATTTCTTCTCAGGTTGACGATCCAAGTGGAAGACGTCCGGATACAAACAAAATTAATCAACAGGTAGAAGAGGGATGATACCAATTCATTATATACAACATGAACATATGTACAAAATAATACACCAAGTACGATGGACTGCTCTTCGACGTACTACCCTTGAAGAATTGTAGGACTTACAGCAGTACGCCTACAACCCTTCTCAGGTTTACGCCCTTAAGTTGGAAAATCGTCGTTGAGCTCATTTGCTGACCTCCTTCCATCATCTATATCCTCGACTCTGAATGGTAACACGCCCATGACATTGTATCGTGGAAGGTAGATGACTAACAAACATACGACGTATCTGACCAACCAAGCGAATGTACAGAGTAATTTGCACCAAAGATAATAACATTCAAATAGTAGTTTGAAACCTGAAATGCCTTTATTCGTGCAAGTCAGTCTAACGATTACCCTCTTGTACACAGTTGGCCTATCGTCACTAAACTGGCCATTGACTTTCGTCCCTTCGAACGGACCAACACTAGCATAGTCACTGCATAAGACACGTTGATTCATGAACGGCTCTTTTACTGCATATGACAACACCAACGACGACTGGCTGACACCAGTTGATGAACTTAGCGGTGTATCAGAAGCTGTTGTTGTTAGACCTTTAGGAGGTTGTCTAACCACAGGATAACCACCACTGCTATCTTTTATTATTGGCTCCAGTTCAGTTTTAACATCTGTCGATAGTTGGGCTACACTCGGATCACTTACAGTGATGGCCTCACGAGTATCCATACCTTCTCCAACCGCATCTGCCTTTAATTCTGCTTCACGTTCAAGTTGTACAGAACCTTCAGTCAACTCAGTAGTAGTAGGCATTCCGCTAATCTCATCATGATCAGCTACAGACAAATGTGAACTACCGTGACCATTGTCAGAAATACTCACTATACCGCCGCCTGTATGATCGACTTCATCATTTTCACACTCTTTAATAACAGCCGTAGATGACTCAGGTTCTTCCTCATGAATCATTAAAGGTTTAATTCCTTTACTTTGACTAGTATTACCTTGTAAACTTGTGGAGTGAGAACTGGACACTGAAACTGTAACCCTCTTCTTATGCACAAACTGCGGTGTCGTCTGAGACACTCTTTTCAACAATGGATTATCAGTTACGACTACAGGCTTCTTCACCGCACCATTATCGTCACACGATTCGGAGTCAGAACACGATGACGCTGACTTCACATTTAGCTTGCCACAAAACTTGCTCGTTGCTTCACAGTTCGCCTTTGCATGCACTTCTTGCAAACGGACGAAGCACAGCCGTGTTTGTCTCGCAGCTTGTAACTTATCCGTTGGGGACGTCTCGCTAAAGCTGCCACAATCATTAGGTTTACTAGACACCATACAGCTTTCTCGATATCCACTACACTGAGACCCCTTCGTCACAAATGATTGCATTCTACTCTCCGATTTCTCTATTCCAGGGGAGGGATGCAGTATACTAGCAAACTTGCTCAAAGCTTGGTTGACACTGTCTTTCACCAGGCTCACAAGGTCATCCAACCTGGGCTCTAAACCTTCCTCCTCTAGACGTGAACAAACCTTTATAAACTTCCTTTGTAGACGAACAGGTAATCTCTTGGCAACAGTTTCAAGCACGGAACTTGAGTTCAATTCATCTACGCAGTTAAAAGACATGAGTGTATTTCTATATACCATCAAATTATCCAAGAACTCTGCAAGTTCCTCTGCATTATCGTTCAACTGTGACCCGTTACCTTTCACCGTCTCGAAAATACTACGGGATATCATATATGGTTTTCCAAACCTCTGACGGAGTATCTTCATGGCCTCATCATATCCTTCGTTCGGGGGCATAAACTTACAGCACTGTATGGCTCTTGCAGCTACACCAGTGCAATATCTCAACAAATACATTAACTTCATTTCATCATTCAATACAAAACCACTCAGCATGACCTCAAACTCTTTAATGAACTGTGGGTAGTCGGCTGGGTTTCCATCGAAGTATCTCGGTTCAAACTTAGGCAGTCTTAAACCCTTACTGTCACTTAACGGTGAGGCATGAACACCGAACTTAACATGCTGAGCATCATACATATCATTACAGTTAACAGGCAACTCATCGTGACTTACTTTTTTGTCTGCTTCCATTGTGCCATGTCCCTTTCTTGACCCAGACATTATCCGTCACCAAAGAATCCAAATTGCGTTGATAATCCTTGTCCAAAGAGAAGCTGGCTGCAGATCTAGTAAGTACACCCAGACGATTTCCAGAAGGCGCCCACGAAGACTTGGAGAAGAATAAAAACTGCCCCAGATGGCAATCCAAAAGTTGAACAGAAGAATAAAAACTGTTCCCGAAGGCGAACAATACGAATAAAAACTGTCAAGGAACTTAGCCCTAAGTTCCTATTGTAATGAAGACTTAAGCGATTCAACCGATAAACACTATGTATTTCCTTCAACTTTAAATCCAAAACACCAATATTCCTCGAACGAAATTATATTGTTTGGCAATTAAATTGAAGAAAACTACAAAGTCTGCAAACAAATGTTAAGTACAAATGAAGTTATAAAGTACTTTTATTCGTATTGAAATCCAGTCTTCCTTCAACTTGCAAGCGATCGTTCCATTCGCGCCTTGAATTGCCTGCCAGACCCAGTAAAACAAACGTTCAATGTTCACGTCCATTGACACATGTCTATGAAAAAGTTATGAAGTCAGTGGGAGCTATCAATCAGCTTGTAGATTCGCATAACAGTAAGCCTTTGAAGACAGTCAGTTGTAATCAAGAGAATTCTTGACATCCTGCTTCTTTTTTACTCCAATGATTTGTCTGAATTCATGATATAACCTTTTCAATTAATCACTCCAGCTGAGAGGTTACTTGCTTCACAGATCTAAAAGGCATCGTTTCAACTGAAGGCAGTCGGCACAGATGAAGGTGTCAAAGCTAGGCAGAATCGGAAAAGCAAAGCAGGCCTTCATCACTCTCAAATCAGTTTGGAAATCTTCTACACTCAGCCTGCATAAAGAACAATATTCGAATCTTCAACACAAATTCCACTGTGTGGATAAAATTTATTTTGATGAAGTCTCACAGTGTTATACATTAATATTTACTGTGTATATTTACCCTGTGAAGGTAACTAATTTAGAAAAAAGCTCAGCAATTGCACTAAATGCATTACCACACAATAGAGTGAGAGAGAGGAATAAGATTCTTGAAAGTAATATAGGTAGGCGGAGAGCGTGACAGGTTGATTACTGAATCTTTGTTCATAGAATAATTTACACCCAACACAACACATGCAATAGGAATGACTCATCACTCATGCCGGAAATATGGAAAATACTACTACCAATCAGATCAAGAGATGAAAAATAATGGAATCATATAAACGAAGTTGGAAAGTTGTGTGAGTAGTGTCTTGATGTGATTATGAGCGGCAATAAATTGTGCTCGAAACGTGTTCATCAGTAAATACTGCTGTATAACATACTGTGAGACTTTATCAAAATAAATCTTATCCACAATGGAATTATACTGTATCACAGTGCACAATTTCTATTCTTACTTCAACACAAATGTTAAATTAGTTCCACTGTGGTGAGAGCTGTCTGCTAGCGAAAATTGTCGACAACAATTTACCTCAATGTTTACTTCCCAAATCGGGGTCATGAGAAAATAACAATAACAAAGCTTAACCTTCAGAAACTCACCGACCAATCACAGCAGACTTAATATGGGAAAATACGATTCGCAGATATATGACCTGACTTTCTGATAAACGGTCACAAAGAGATGACAGAATAACCTTCAGCAAGAAAACAACCAATCAGAGGACGTTACTTCTCTGCTAACAATAACGCTAATAATAATGTACATAAAAATCTGTAAATATCTGTCGATTTTCTCAATAAACGATCTGTTGCCTGGCCCTTGTCTTCTGCCGTTACACTAGTATACGAGTGAGAAAATTGACACTCTCGTTTTGAAAAGCATCACAGACTTTTATCAACATCTGCCACCTTTGCTGACTCCATAACAAAGATCAGACGGTTAGCCGTGAAGGATTAGCAATAAGAAAAGCTGGATAGTGACAAAGCAACCAAAATCTTATTACTGGACGAATATTCAAAAGAAAAGGGAAGTGGATTTGACACACGCTACGGATGCATGCGTAACACATGTCCTAACCATCTCAATCGATGTAAATTCACAACCTCGTCAATTGATTTTCCCTCCCATTTACCTAACCCTCGACCAATGAGTCACCTCAGTATTACTTACACTATTATACTATGCAACATGGGGGACAGAACGCAGATACCTGTGATCAAAGACAGCTAGCTAACCTTTTCATGTCTTCTACTTTCAATAGCCATGTCTCACAGGTAGCCGTAAAGTAGGGTGTAGCGAAGTGGTGAGCAGTATACACATCCTCAAATCGATAGCTAGTCGGATATCACGTCTAGTACTCAAGAGATGGCCTGATTTGTCAGGCAAATGCTAAAGGAGACTTCTATATCTGTTCTGAGATTTCATCAGCAATCAACCCTCTGGTGCTAGTTGATGCAACTTCCCAGATAAGTGAAGTGGTGAACGTGCTCCATCAAACACTTCACTCTTGTATATCATTAAGCCAAGAGTGAACCGATGTAGTCGATTCCTGTATCCAGTATCATCTTACATTTGACAGAAGCGCTCGAATCGCATTCCAAACATTCTCTGCTTCCTGCTCAAGGTTTTCATCCAAGTGGCTATCTACAATTCAATCGGTTCAAACTAATTCGCCTCTCTAAACTGATTCACACTGGGTACATAACTGATTAGCTCGATCCTAATCGAGGGAGACGACATTTTTGGCGTTTAGATCACTTCAATGTGGTTATCAAGCATCTCTGGTTGTTGTTGTTGTTGGTGGTGATGTTCAACTACTCACAACTACCAATCAGTAGTAGAGTATATAGCGTCATGCATTGAAGTACATTTTCTCATTTGTCAACCCTAAAGATTAATCTGAATATAAAATTAATGATACTATTTATAATAATTGTGTGAGTTAGCTAAAATTGATTTGAAACGCCTTTTTTTCGTAGTAATGATGCATAGCTTTAATTTTCTTTTTATGCTGTCAAGTGAACATTTCTATCTGTCTGTCTATATTAAGTTGACGTATTAAGAAGTAAAAATATCCAATTTTTGTTTTTTTAAATGATTGATCATTGATGGCTTCAATTTTCAATTGATCAACACTTTAAATATATATATGTATATATCTGTAGGTGAGGCGAAGCGAGGCAAGATGAGATGAGTTTTTATTAGATTAAATGAATTCATTGAACATTGTAAAGTTATTTTTAAATTATTGACAGTTATGTTTGATAGACAAATGATGCGTTAGTCTGTTTTTTGCTGGAATTTGGTGTTCTTGCTTTACAGTATCATTCCTTGAATTGTAAAGTTATTGGGGAGGAGAATTTAGTCTACACACATCTGATGGAGATTTGTAACTCAGGTGTGCGTGTGTATTTGTGTTCTCTAAGCAGGATGATTTATTTGTGAAACTTTCTCTGTCTTTTCCTAGAAAACATTTTCGGCGAAGACTTCAATTTGAAGCCATTTTTGCTGGTGACCTTGAAAGTGATTGTTTGTTTCTTTTGAGAATTTCTCCATTCATACTGGCATTGATTGTTGTTTTTACGAGTTGATCATGGATTGATATCAGTTAGAGAACCATTAAAAATCAGCCAGGGAGTACTGGACAGTCAGCTATTTCATCCTACTTTGGGAATCGTCGGCAGTGTGCACCTACTGGGTTCGAACCCAGGACCTTTCGATTACAATGCAAACTGGCTCGTATACCATTCAGCCACTGGGTCGCGATTGTTGTTGTTTTGTTGACCTGAAAGTTGACCTTTTGTCCATATGACTTCATTTCTATTGACTGTTGATTGCAGATTTGTCTGAGTACTAGACATCTAGAAATTCTAGGATTTGTGTATTCTTCCAACCGAAATATTGTCTGTGGTTGTCTGCATGAACTAGTATGATGGGATGAATATCTTGTCTTTTAACAACTAGTTTATGTTTGTGGATGCGAAGACGTAGAGAGCGTCCACTTTGACCAATAGAATTTCTTCACAATTGTTGTAATTTATCTTGTAAATGATTTTGATTTTATCTTCTTTCATTGTTGACTCTTTTGATTGACATACTGTCAATTGAAGTGATTTTGTCGGCTTGTCGACGACATCTATTCCGATAGATTTTAATCATTTTGCGGTGATTTCAGAGGTGTTTTCCATAAAAGGTAACACGATTTTTGAAAAAAAGACATGGACAACAGGTCAGGGATTTGATTAGTTACAGATTCGATCATGAGTTGACATCAGCTACAGAACGATTGGAAGACA